TTATGCCGGCCGGGTGGCATACGGGACCAAGACAAAAGAAAAAATATGATATTTGCCAAACGCCCACCTACTAGACCACCCGGAAAAAGACGAACAGCCTACTATAAGAAAAAGTGGGGAGGGGGGGATCGGAAAATTGGGCATAGTATTTTGGAGTCCAGATGGGAGCGTTCAGTACCGGTAACTCGAGCCAATCGATTTCTTCACTTCTAACCCCGCCTCCTGACCCTCTCTACCTGCGGCCGCAGAATTTCCAGCACCTTCATTGAGGGACAAGCTGGAGTGTGCCTTCACCATCCTGTCTTGCTGTACCCGTACGAGCTCACGGTATGTGCCGGCTCTATTACGGCACTTTCCGGAAAAAGCAGCGCCGGAGCAGCTCCGCTTCCTTCCAATATGTTGCAAATAGTTGGCGAACAAGGCGGCAACGCCTGGTTGCCACGATGACGGGAGCTCGTTTAATGTCCCTAGGCTCACGCGCTGCAAATAAATGGAGAGAGAGCCTGACGGTGGTGGGGAAAGGTGTTCAAGCTAGCATTTTTTTGGGAGGTGACGAGGCCCAGGCCGTTGGAAGTATTCCCGAGCCACTGGGAGAAGAACCTGGGTATGTATGACGCCCGGTCCGGAGGATAGTGGGGAATTATCGCAACAAAGCCCGCCGGTAGGTGACAGTTGAAATTCGCTCAGTGGCAGGGCGCAAAGATACGGCATTGCTCTTAAACGCTTAGAACCCACTACCGTATCTCTAGCAGCCCACAACCCCACGATAGGTTTAGTTTGGCAGGCTAACATAATTGCGAATGCAGGTTGCCGATATCCAACACATCCAGTCGGCTGATCCTATGTTATATCATATCAGGGAAACGCCAATCCCTCCCAGGGGGGCTACAGAAATAGTGCATTCCAAGAGTTCTTGCGGTGTCTGATATTTATTCACTTCCTCAAGAGTCACTTTATCTAGAACCCACTCTCTTTTCTGTGTCCCGGGCTAGGTACCCAAAACGAGGCCAATTGAGAGACGCTCCGGGAGATGCGTCTGGTCTCTCTACCCCGCTGAAAATTTCCCCCGCCCACAAAGATACACTCCCGAAGCCAATATCTAAAAGCATGCTCGGTGAGAAATAGTGCTCCGTCACCCCAGATCGGCCGCAAAATCCTGCCAATCATCGAATTCGCGCCTGTGTAAGGAATCCTGTGCTACCTAAGCTAGAGGCGCCCTCCGTAGACCTCAAACAGACTTTTGCTTCGGTACTACCCAAGCCACGCCACAATTGCACCCCGTTGCACCGGCTAATTTTCCAAGTTTTGTTAGAGATACAGAGATACCATCCCACTATCCCGGATTACCGGTGTTTTCAGATGGGATAGTAATCTATAACCCTCTGTTTCACGCAGAAAATACATTCGGTGTCCGTGATCTCCCCCCCCTATACGGTAGCCTAAAACCTAACATTACACCTGCTCGGAGGCATGGTTAATACCATGAGCAGTCTATGAGGTCGATAGGTAACTTATAGGGATACTATCTACGTTGCATAAAGCCGAAAGTGGCACGCTAAGAGGTCAGAATAAGGTGTGAGTCAGGAGATTTCACCGAGTAGCCCTTCTCGGTTAGTTGTTTCCTTCAAACAAATAACGACACGACTACCGTACTCGTACGATACTGGTATCATACAAGTACTCAAGCGAACTCGGGTATAACGCCACACCTTCTTTTGACCTCTTAGCGTAAAAAACTAGCTTCACCACTCGATGGGGTGCCTCCGCCATAGACAGCAGAGGTCGTATTTCTAGAAGGTTGTTTGACAGATGTGTTGCGCTTTTGGATCCCGTATGAGAGATACGTAGGCGAGATGGTGGGGAAGACTCGGAAACCCTATCCTACTGTTTATCGAATTTTCAACCCACTCCTGGTGACTTCTCTCCCCTGCTGCTCTACATCTCCTTTAGACCATGTATGGAATAGTTGCGAACATACCGCTCAATTATAATTCAATTTTTGAGTTTTCTTTTAAACAAGATTTAGCCCAACATTCCACTCTCCCGGACGTTTCGTTGTCCCGGACGGCCCAGACTAGATTCCGATCACGCTAGGTAACGAGGTCACACCGTACTCTCTACGGCCTAGGAGGACGAAGAGAATAATTCAACCATACTGGAGAAAACCTGAGTAGAACAATTGAATTACAGAACCGCTGCTTCCAGGGGGAGCAGGGGTGATCTCTTGCCTCAATTATTAGGGAAGTACGAGTACTGTATCGAATGGTATCCAATTGCGTGGACTGAGGTCAAATACCAATAGGAATCTACCGTATGAATCTTGACCTCTCCTGGAATCCCGGTGGGCACGCTTTCAGCGCTAGTCAAACTACGGTAGCTAGGTCCCGCTCGCGACCCCGAGCGCTAGCCTTTGCTCTCCTGGCATTGCCCCATACTGCAGCTGTTTTTGTTTTGTTTTTTCCTCGCTCCGGCGTTTTTTATTATTCTGCGTGTAAGATTTCTTTTCTTCCTTCTTTTTCTCCCGCCTATCTTTCCAGGATCGCCACGTTTTTAGCGGGTGTCGGGGGTGCCTCCCCCACCAATCAAGAGAGCAAGCGTAATTGAGGGGTTGTGCAGTGTAACATAGCTGGAAGCTACCACAACTCTTGCTGAGGCCGTTGCCTGTGAGATATATCAAAGTCCGCAGGGCCAGTGCCGGCGAACACCGTCCTTGTTGTGGGAGCCCTCAAGGTGGCCAATTTTCGAGTACTGTACAGTACGGTACCGGTATGCTAGAACCAATCTTGTTGGGGTTATTTAAGGAGCGGAACTACAAAATTTTATCATACCCCGATGAACGAATAAAAAGTACAGTATGGTTAGATTTCGCATTTGGGGCCGCCATCAATTCCGAGTCCTATGTCACGATTTTTTTACATCCAAACAAGGCGGAGTCAAGGACCCGCCAGACCTCGCCATTCCTTGTCATTAACCTACAAGTATGCCAATGCCAATACCGTCTGGTTCTCTGCATAAACTCCTAACGTTGGGTCAAGTGCATATAGCAGCTATCTTATCGGACAATCCCGAGCAAGAGAGCACAGCCTCCCCAGAAGACAGTGTGCAGGCATGGTAGAAAATTTTGGGAAAAAAAAACCAGCAGGATCCAGTAGGTTACCGTAGTAGGTAGACGGTGAATACGAGTGGAAGAAAATGAGGCGTACAGTAGACACGAACGGCGGGGAGTGGATGCTAAGCCCAAGAGAGATAGCGCGAGTTCAGAATTATGAAATTAGGCTCAGCACAGACCGGTCCTATACGGTAGGGACTTCTAACGAACCCGAGGAGCCCTTCTGCACTTCCGGATGGGGTATAGCTGAAGGTAAACGCCAAAACACCATGTCCAGGTTCCTCTAACTTCTACCTTATCGACCCATCAACACAATCCCTATGGCACTGCCACCACAAACCTTGCGCCTTTTCTGCCATGCCCGAGTACGTAGTGATAAAAAGAAGAGTTGCAGGAGCTCTCCAAGACGTCTATAGGGTTTGAAGCGATTTGCTCAATTTGTAACTAGTCTTGCGCCCGCAGTCCCACAAAAACCATGCCTAGTGAATGTACAGATCTCGCGGAAAGCTTTTTTTTGTATTCACCAAATCAGAGATTTCCGTGGGCCACGGTTTTATCCTTTTCCTATCTCCTTTCTCCTGCCGATCCGGCTCGGCCCCCCAGGTAGGCTCTGCACCGGGGAGGATATGACAGAGGGGAGAAAGGGACCCAGCAGATCTGGTCTGGCCTTCCAGACCAGTTTATCATGTGTCGGGATAGTACATAATCAGGCCGGGCCTGAGGCGCCCAGGAAGAGCCATTATGTAAAAATTATAAAATGTGATCTGAACCGGGTGCTAGCATAATTCGAAATTGGTATAATCATATGCGTATGTACTCTACAGTGCTCAAGCAGTTGTATCCAGCCTCCACTTGGGAGAAAACCACATTTCCTGTTAACAGCTAGTAGATTCTGCGGGAGTCATTGCTCAAGGTGGTGCATGTAATGCTAGATACTTGAGAAACTATCCTCACCTATCTCGTGAGGGACGGCGACTGTATCCATCCAACCCCCCCCAACTTAATCCTACCAAACATACCCGCGATAACCCCATCACCCTGTTTATTCCAATCTCACCCCTTACGGCTGCCTATACCTTACCATGCCTTAGCCCCAAGTTAAGCGTCTTGCCAAACCCCAACCGTTTCTAAACGGAGTGAGAGAATAGGCAGATTTTAAAGCATCACTGCGCGATACTCGCGTTGGGGGATACTGGGGAGGACAAATCGCGCAGCTATATAAGGAGCGGGTTAGAATAGGGCTCGACCAATACGGAGAAACAGTAGGAAAGGAATAGTCAAAAACTTCGTTCTCTTTTCTAGCCTCTTTTCCCAACTAACGGTGGAGACAGGAGTATAGATAAAGCATGAGGAAGGCATCCTGATCCTTCAAAGGATCACCGCACGTCTTTCATCTCCTCCTCGCACGCCCCCACGCCTCCACGGACACACCCGTGATGATAAGGGAAAGACATGTATGGAGAAACTTCTCCGCAAAAAAATGATAACTCCAGAAAGGGAGAGCCACCTCCAACGTTCCCCAAGGCTCCACGGTCAGCACCAACCCTCTGCCCCTCGCGGGCAACTTCCACAAATTCAGCACTCGTAGAATTTAAACCCTCCCTTTGTAAAGAAAAAAGACGCCATTTAGCTCAGTAAATAATGTCAAGAGTTCTAAGGTCCTAGGGTCGGTTGCCCCGGCGCCTCACCCTTCCTACTATTGACTCATAGAGAAACCACCCGAATCGCATTCACCAGTGGCTCTGTTGGACGCTATCCCCGTCAAACCAGCGTTATTCAGGTTTTCTTTATCATCGACCGCATTCACCCAAGTGGAAGCCCTCCAGGGATGTCCCGAGATATGCACAAGGGTCAAGCTACGCAGAGTGGTGCTCTGACAAACGAAAAACGACAATCTGAAACTCCAGTTTATTTCCCCCCGGCCCAGAATTCCACAACGTCCATAAATAGATTGTATCCTCATTCCAAAAAGAAAATACATATTCAAGCTCTTCTGTCAATCGACGAAGAATAATCAGCGGGGAAGGGCCTATCCTCATCGTCACTCATGGCTCTATTCCCCGGTGACGGCGGCTCCTGCATATCCGCTTCCTCGCTCCTAGAATCAGCCACCAAAACCGGCATCCCAGTCGCCCCCCTCCCCCAAATCCACCTTCCAAAGAACCACCTCAACTGCCGAACCCCATGCATCGCTTGAACCTTGCTCGGCACTTCGAAAACCCCATTTAATTCCTCCAGCGTGTGATTCCTGGTCTCAGGAACGAACAGGAGAATAAACACGAACCCGACAACATTCAGTACAGCATACACTCCGAATGCGGCCGACTTCATCGACTCGTGGATCGGAGGCCACGTGATGGTCAGCAGCCAGTTAAAGAACCAGGTTACTGCGGTGGCGATGGCCATGCCTATGTCACGGATGTACAGCGGATAGCATTCCGCCGAGTAGACGAATGGGACAGGGCCCTCGCCCGGGGAATACACTGCTGCGAAGAGGTACTGTGAGTCATTTGTCAGCGAGTGATCATTGGTGATTGGAGAGGGGCGGAACCATTCCGATGAGACTTAGTGGCGGACCATCCTTCCCGTCGCGTATTTTTTCGAGGAGGAATGTTATCAGCATACATACCGCCATCAACGGAAATGTGAACAAAAGTAAATTGCGTCGACCGAGGGTGTCTATCGTGCGCACGGCCGGTAATGCAAATAGGAAGTTGATGATACCGAAGCCCATGCTGCCCAGGAGCGCGCGGCGGATGCTGCTGTAGCTTTCCATGCCCTTAAGAATGACGTCCGAAGAATACTTTTATAGCCAGTGTTATCATCCTGTGCAGGTTTGGGGCAAGAGAAAGGAAGTTTACACACATATGCTAACACGTTAACTCCGCATAGCTGCTGCATGATCATTACTATGAGCGATGCCTGCAGCGCGCGACGGTTCCGCGGGATTGTGAAGAGTTCTACAAGGCGGTTGCGGCGGTTTGAGATCTGTTTCTCGGCTTCCAGGAGGACATCGATGTATATCAAGTCCCGCGCGGCTTGGACTTCCGAGTGGCGGAGGCGGATCAGTGAATTAAAGGCTGATTTATAGTTTCCGTTTTTGATGTACCAACTGTTCTTTCCCCTTAGCTGACTAATTACCCAGGTAGTGCGAAGAGGGGGGGTGATATATTTACCGAGGTGATTCGGGGCTGAAGTATACGAGTGCACAGACGACTAATGGAAGGAACATAGGACTAGCGATCATGAGGCGCCAGTTTATACTCTTTTTTTCCCCCAATTAGCCCCACTTTTCCCACTGGGCTGGTACGGAGACGAATACATACACAGTCATGAATTAACAAATTCCCCAGCTTCTCCGAGCACAACGTCTGATTCGTACCATCACCAACATCAAATAACGCCACGCCCATCACCAGCCCCATCGCCACCCCGAACGCCGTCCACATCTGCCACATCATCACCAGTCCGCCACGGATAGCCGGGGGAGTGCATTCAGATGCGTACACTGGGATTGTTGCACTCTTCGGCCCGATGCCAAGACCTTATATTCTCATCAGTATGGTCTTCGGAAAGCGGGTGGAGAAGCCAGCGAACCGAGCAGGAATCTTGTCACCAGCATCTGCTGCCATGTCTGCGTGAGGCCTTGGCCGAGAGAGGTTACTGAGCTAATCATACATGAGATGAAGATTGTGCCGCGGCGGCCGAAGTAGTGGTTTAGGGGTTCTGTGAGCCTATGTTTTGTGTGTGTTGGTACAGTGAGTTGGGTTATTCCCGGAGCGGAGCACCAACCAACACCCCACTACGGCGCAGCATAGATATGGTGCCGAGTTCACAAGGCCGTAAAGCCATCTGTTGTCTGCTATGTCGAAAGCCTTCTGATAGAAGGTATTCGCTATTGACAAATGTACGTTAGATGGGGGAGAGGTTCTTCTTGAAATCCTTGGGGAGATATGGCGAACGAACCTCCATTGACCGCAGTTCTGAAGAACAGAGAGAAAGTCGATTACAGGTTAGCATAGCCATCATCTTACACAGCACACACGACAATTCATAAAGTCCAGATGTCTTGGCGCGAAGATCCGCATGCTAGATTGCGTGAACCGGTATATCTTAACGCCAAGACATAAGGATAGCTAGTGGAAATATCCTTCTATTCCCTATTGACCTCCCTCCAAAACCCAACAAAAGTGGCCAAAATACAGCAGAAAGAGATGGGGATACTTGCTCATCCCAGCCCTGCACCGCTGCTCCTAACGAACACATAAACACAAGCGCATACAAACCCTTCGGCTGGTCCCACTTATGCGTCAGCTCCCTTGCCAGCGCATTCCGCTCCGCAATGAGCTTGCTATTAGTCTGAAACTCCGAATCCCCATCCCGAAATGACAGCGGATTCTGTGCGAGCACCGCTGCGCGCTGGAATAATTCTCTGTATTCCGCACCTAGCCCCTTCTCCACAACGAAGTTGCGCCCGAGCTCCTCGAGTTCGGCCCTCTGGAGGCCTGCAAGGGGGTTCGAAAGGAGACGGTCGGGTAAGATTGACTCTGATATGCTGCTTGGGGGTGCTGGGGCGGGTTTTTCCTCGCTAGCGATAGTGTTGGTTGTTTGGGCTTCCGCCATTGGGGGTTGGGATAGTGGGCAGTTTGGGTATTAGAGGGGGGTTGGAGAAGGTGGAAAGGGGAGAATCTGTCGGGAAGAACATGGGAAGGGGGAAGAGGGGGGTATTATGAAAGCATCTGGGGATAGCATTATTTGTGGAACGAAAGGAAGGAAGGAAGAGGTCAACAAGGCGGTTAACTTATGGCTTGAACCAAACTGAGGAAATAATTTTACGGAGCGGTATTATACTTGTGCGTAAGTTGGCAGGCGCAATCACTCGAGGCCATGCCTGAGCTAAGTTGAGAAACACTATCACGGTACCGCTGCCGCAATGTAGTACAAGTTTCAGTCATAAAATAGCTTACGGGTACGGTAGGGAACAAGGGTGTTGATGTTGATTTTGACCAAAATTTGTGGCATGCTACTACCGGTTACCGGAAGTCTGAAAACACAAGTATCCTATTTCTCAAGAAAAAAGAACCCCGAGAATCATTTTCCTTCTCTCTCCCTTTACAGATGTACCGGTATTGAACTGGACGCCAGACACCTGGTCTGCTAATTATGTTTGTTCAAAGTTGACTAAGAGAAGAGAGGACAGAGATCCTCTTAAGGTCAAATCTATCGGGTGTATTATACCACTCTGTGATACTTAAATTTTAGTCACACACTGTACCACTATTTTGTGCCTGACCCTTACACTCGAGCACTCGAATACAGGTGCCGGTACTTGATGAGTACACCCCCCGGGTTATGCAAAGTTGTACCCCTGCCTAAGTACAGTACCGGTACCTCTCAATCCCCCCCTCCAAAAAAAAGAGCCAACATTTCAGCCTCGCTTCTTATCCTTTTTCTTCCCCCTCCCCGCCCTTCCTCAAATCCCCAATTTTTCCTCTACCAGGTACTGTGTTCTAGTCTAAATCCAGATGTCGGAGGAACAAGCAACCGTCACCCGCGAGCATCAATAACGCGTGGAAACGGGCATATGGATCACTAATGTATTTTCATTTATTTTTTTTCTTTTCCAATTTATTTCCCGATACGAGGTCGTGGAGGGAGGGAGGGTTGGTTGGCTGGTTTACAGGTAGTACTCTTACGGTGGTGGTATAAGTGCCCGAGTATAGATAGTATTCTCGCCCCATCGAAGATGACTGAACACGCCCCTGGGAGAAACGGGAAAATCGTCCGGTGTGCTCGCAAGCCTAGAAAATCTCCCCAATCGCACTTTTAGTCAATCCGTCATCGTCTGTCCTAAGGCTCAGAAAACGCAGGGGCCTCCACAGAAGCCGCCTCAGAGCGAATCGGGCCCTCTACTGAATCCAACCAAATCTATTATCCCTCAGCAGCGAGAAACATTTTCCCGTTGCTACTGTACGGTACTAGTACTGGACTAGCACAAGTAGTAAATTTACCGGTAGTTCAGTTGCATTCAACGGACAACACCGCCACCAGCAGCTGGGCACAACTTACCCTTAGCCGCCCCCACCGGATCTCGTCGCAAGTGCGGGTGCTGCTATCCGGATGCACTGCAGGATCGGTGGGGATATCACATGGGGTTAGCTTACAGTACCGGTACAGTACTCAGTACTCGTACTCGGGTATCTCGTGCCTTGTGCGTAATTCTTGGGGTCATATGCCGGTCTGCCGTGCCCCTCCCACAGGAATAAACGGTGCTCCAAACCTCCATTGAGCTCGCAACACAAGCAAAGCCACACCAAAATGGTAAAAATAAAAGATAGAAAATTAGCATGAGCAATTTACAAGTAGCCGCCCTATATCAGCCTCATCAAGGTATGAATTCAAGCGGCCGAGAATCTGGGGATTACTATCTCATTTCTGGTGCCCTCACCGCTGATACGGTAGACCTGGTAATCTCCTGCTCTCGGATCACATCTGAAGAAGAGCTCGGAAATTCAGTTCAAGCGCCGAGAACTTATATGACAGCTCATAGTAGGAGAGCTATGATACCCGTGCTACAACCACAAAATGCTAAGCTACTGGAAAGCGAAGAGTGGCGATGGAATACCGGTACTCGAGTAAACTCTTGGTTGCGTTGTGGGTATGTGGGTTAGTGTAAAATGCATGACCGACGATCAATTACATCAGTGAATCACACCACAGGGATAGGTGGTAGACTACGTACGATGACGATGGCGATGGCGATGCCAGGGCTGAAGAAAGGCGGAAGTCGGGGAGAGGATACGGGAATAAATTAGGGCCCTACGCGCGTTGTGGGGATTATGGGTTCAGAGTTGAGAGGTGATATTCTGTAGTGGTAGGGCGTCGGCGAGGTTATGATAACGTACCCGATGGCATAGCG